TCATACGGGAAATTACCCTCTGCCTCTAATTGAAGAACATTGAACATTGAACATACCGACATCATTTGACGAGATTTTGTGTGAGTGACGTGATACGGTTCAGTGAGGAAACAAAAGTTGTGTAAATTCCTTAGACTAAAACTTACGAGAATGAGATGAAGAGACGTTTGCACGCCCATATAGAAGTGGTCAAGGGATGGATGCTGGGTAGAGATTGGGGTCAAGACTCAGCACTAAAGGCCGTTTGAAAGAGGCTAAAAAGCAGAGCTAGCTTTGCAACAGACTGAGCCACGATATTCCATTGTCCAGATAATTTGGCCAATGGTAAAGAGCTAGATATTGAGAGGTGGTGAAAAGTTGCTTTTAGTGAAAATGATTAAACAGTTCTCCAAGTGAACGCGGTATAAATTCACAAATAGGACAGGATTAATATATATGCACGACGAAAATCGGAGGCTAAAAGAAGCCTGAAAAGATGCGAAACGAAGTCAATAAAGATCACAGTGTGGCTTAGAAGCCGGGTGGGAGAAATAGACATCTAAGAGGTTTAATTGATCTTGGAAACGGTACAAGTTTCTTTCTCTAGGCAATTATATCATTATTCATTCGGTGAGTCAAAAGTAGACAATCGATATCGAGTTAGAGAAAGAACGAGGATCTAATGCGCTAACTGTTTGGATCACGGGATAAACTTCTTTTAGAGACGGAAACGGCGTGAATGGTTTTCCTGTGATGGAAGAGGCTGGGATGTCATCTAAGCCAGGTAGCTTGAATTTACATAGTGAACACAGTGCATGGTGAAAATTCGTAGTTGTAATGACATCATATGGGACCATGTTTTTTGTTAGGTGTAGACAGGATTATGGAAGATTTTGAACCAGAAAGGAAGGCAAACATATCAGGTAATTGTGATACGTTTTATCAACTGGAATAAAAGATAAAGTAATAACGAAAACTTAGAAATTGCTTTATTACTGTACCAAAACAAGATGCTGCCTGAAGGACAGTCCTCAAGTTGTTAGCTGTCCGATGAGCAACGTTACCGTTGGTTTTCCTCCGAGTGCTGAGAATTTGTCCCAAGCTTTTGAATAGTGTCCATCAGTCGATGAACTTGAGCACATACGATTAGGTTGAGAAGGTTTCCTTTCGATCAGATTTCTTGGGGAAAAGCGTTTGTAAATTACTCAGGTCAGTGTTGAATCCTGTGCTTATAAAAGTGGTAAATAATTTGAACCCATCAGGTTATCTACGGCTTTTGGATGGTGGTGGTGCAGTGGTTTAGTCGTTATCAAACGCGAGCTTTGGACCCTATGGTCCGAGGCTCGTGCCCCACCGCAGCCACCCAACTTTGGTGGAAGGCAGCTTTACCGTCGCCTGATTCGATACCAGGCCTGAGCTAGCTGGGCTTTATGTGATTTACCACTCAAAGTCCCGGGGCTTAGGTTGCCGGTTAACATTATGGAACAACAGGTCTAACTCAATCTGGGGTCTACTCCGACTGTTGTTCATCATACATGGGTGTAATAAAAAATGAATATTTTCATGGCAAACGACTGTGGCAACTGACACGCACTCTATCAGGGTAACTGCTGCTAGCTAACCGCGAAACGGAAGCATTTTCGCAGTTGAGATTCATTTATTCCCAATTGTGGCTTCATGCTGTTAATCTGGAGCAGACATTTTACCGGAGACATATTGATTTTTAAAGTAATCCTTTTACTCATAAAACACAAAACAATCACTACGGAGAGAAAAGAAAGAACTATTGATTAAACAATAAAGTGCTTAAGAAACTAAAGACATTTGACTAATGAGCAAACTGAGTGACGCCAGGGAGCTAATTTTTCCAAAGATTTCCGTATAGTGGGAATCTGAATCAATAATACACTCACATATATTCTACATTCTGCTCACATGTGACAACCACGATTAGATTACGTTTTAGTAAAATGAACAAATGAAATAGCGCAAGTCGAAAATTACACACGTCATATATCAAGCCTGAAGAACACTTATTACGTCAAATGGAGTAGGCAAGATCCACCGGATTGAGTGATTATGCAATAGTAGAATTAATCCACATTTCACAACGTGTTCCCGGTTACACTGTGCAAATTTTTTTATCAGAAATGCGTTAATCTAAACCGCTTCTTTGTTTTTTCCCGGAACTCAATTAAAATCTCCCATTATTTTCGAGATTCATCATTTAATTTTCTTATCATTGAGCACAACCTTCTAGTTATTATAGAGGGCAAAAAATGGCACACATTGAGGGTTCCTATGAAATCGTTCATCAGAGATCGAAAGACGGCTGTAAAAATCAAATATGATATTCTCAAGAAAGTATTGAAGTTTGTTGTTCTTGTTCTTGTTGTAATCGTTGTTGAATTTTTCCGCGTACACCGTAGCATGTTTATCTATTTTGATCTTGTTTTATTGCAGACCTAAACAGCTCCCATGGAGTCTCAAAAACATATTACCTCTTATTTCATCAAACAGATTTCTTGATACTCAAAGTTTTCGATTATTCTTAGTTTAAAAATGCAACTAGAACTCCAATCCGTCGTGGCAAATCACACACACACAACTCTACCGAACCATTCCAAACCGGGCTCACACTCAATGACATGCAAATACAATATCTGAATTTTGTAAGCGGCGCTCGGCTGACCTCCTTTCAAATTCGCATTTGGCGCCCGTAGAGATTCAGTTTTGGGTTGAACACCTAAGACGTGCAAGTCATTTGTTAAATTATTTTCATGTGGATAGTCGGAAAGTCAGCGGCTTAGATATCAAAAGCCCTGGACAACTACACTGTTTATGGGTTATTAAAGCAATAAAAGGAAACCTATGTGTTGTGTCCCCTTATTTATTAGGTGAATAAGCACACGACGAATGGAGCAGTAAGTCTATTGTATACAGCAAATATGTAACCGGTTCACAAACCGGGGAACAAGCAGGAACGATCAGTAGGTAGGAAGGCAAGCAGGCAGACAGGCAGAGTCCGGCTCACACGTTGCAGTACATGCGAATGCCGTCAAGCCAGAATTCAAACATTCAGTCAATCGATCAACCGATCGACCGATCAATCAATTTGACCATGGGCATGCATGAACACAAATCAGTCAGTTTCACGCCACAACACTATGGATGTCACCATGGTGGTTGCCTGTATTGGTGAACTTTCTGTGAAAAACGAGAGTCTAGAATGAAATGCATTTTTGCTAACGCGGAGAAATCTCTCTATACCATAATGATACGTACAACTTAGGATCGAAGCATCTGTATATAGCTTTCTAGCCATTCAGTTCATGCTTCACTTACTATGTACGCACACGACGAAATTGAACATAAAATCTAATCAAATCCTCCCCTACTCTCATGTAGCAGGTGATTACGTTCAAAATGTTTTCAACCGAGTCGTAACCCAGCCGATCCTATATCTTCAATCGAGATCAGGTTAGTTTAATCGAACTACGACCAAGTGCGCAACAAATCACTAAAATCATCGAAGTTCTCTGACATTGATCAGAATAATTAAGTGATTAGTTGGGACGCTGTGGGTGGTGATAACGATTGCTCAGTTTAGAAGCAGACAGTGAAAAGCGGTGGTCCACTCACTTGTACTGGAATAAGTTTCTATGTTACCTACTTCACCAACTTTAGAAACTACGATATCATCAACGTTGCTCCTTTGTCTTGAGTAATTGCACTGTACGGTTAAATGAAATAAATATATGATGCTAATTACCAGCAACTTCCCTGTGTTTTTTCCTTTGAAATCAGGCACTCACAGATCATATCTGCGGACGTATTGTTGTTGTCATCGTCGTCCTTTTACTTCCTTCTTATTTATTGAATATACAAATGTACAGTCAACATTTAGAAAGGGCGGCCGCGGTCATACAAAGGCTACCTGGGAAGACGGGCGGCGGTAGAGCTGGGTGAACTCGGAACTCCCAGGTCACAAATTGGTGACCTAACCACTTGGTCACTACCGCCCAAGTGCTAACTAAACTCATGTGATATATAGGTTGACTTTTCCTCGGTAGGGAATTGTTTCCATGCTGCTTCGTCAGACATTCTGCAAATTAACAATTATGTAACACTCACACCTTGACGTAAATCAGTATCATACGTATTGGTTAAACAACTGATTTTAGAAGTAACTCAAATAGACATTCACAAACTGATCAATATATTGAATCTACTGTAATATTGTTTGCAAACACAATTATCTTCAAACATTTCATCGATAAGTTTCCAAAAAATGCTAACTTGGTAACCGAATTTCCCTCTCGTTTACGACTATTCCTTTCTCCTCATTCTCAATCAAAAGGATAATTGACTGTGGTGAAGAATGACCAGCTCACTACAAACGTGGTTGATAAAAACGTTCGATACATTTGCACACGGACTCGCATCCAGTTACACCGCCGGAATTTACAATTACCTATTCGTCCCGACGAAAAATGAGTCGACCGAGGAGACCACTTTAAAACTGACTACTCTGGATCTGTCCACCATTTTGAATGCCCTAAAGGATTTGCTAATCAGTTCAGTTCAATCGGTCACAGTCTGGGCCACATTACCGGAAGACTCACAATTTGGCCCAGTTAAACAAAATATCTATTGGCTTTTGATTTTACTCTGTTTGCTGGTCATTCTCATCGGATTGGGTTACACCTGTACCGTGATCATTTACCCGTTTGTCAGGGGCAAACACTGTCAATGTCGCAAAAAGGTAAACCCAACCCCACGCCCACTGTGAAATCGCGCTCACAAACTAGAACGTCATACATCCGGGTTTTCAATTGCTTTCGTTTTCCCAAACTCTTGTGTATCACAGTATGTTTTCCGTAGCTTGTCTCATTATATTCTGTTATATTGTATTTAGGATGTGGTCAGTTTCAGTCAGAAATTGATTTTTCCGGGCTGCTAGCTCATGTGATCCATTCTGTAAAATTGGTCGCTGCGTGAGGAATCCATTTTGGTATGTTCTCATCAATCGCGAACGTATAAGATTCAAACTTACTGTCAACCTAATTAAAAGTATAGTTTTGTGTTATGATGCGTGTGTGTCCTCATGATTGCACATGATTGGTTATAGCCAAGGGACACCAAGGGTAAAGGTTATACATTTTTGGACACACACAAGGGTCCTGCAGTGAGCAATCGACGATTCCTCAATAGTGCACTTGCGAAAACAGTTACGCGTTCGCGGGATTCTATGTTATGACCGCTTTCAGTCCAGTGCTGTATAATGACCCAGGTTCGTTTGCGTGGTGCGCTGAATATACCGTGGCTGTTTGAGACAGTGAAAAACCAAATGTAGATCGAACACTGAGGCAAAAGAAAAGTACGCTAGGGATTGGAATTGGAATCTCCACTCACAGCACATTTAAAGTGTCCAAGAAAGGATAAATGGACAGCTGTATACGCTTTCGGATTTCCTCTTGGGACCTATTGTTGAGAGCAATGACTTTTCAATAATTCTCTGGTGCGATGAGCGGTGATGAAAACGGACTGAAAAGTGTTCGTATCGCGTACTCACAATCGCAACAGTCAGTTTCGCGGTCCGGAAAGCTCAGAGAAAAGACCATGGATTTTCAAACAATTTGGTATGAGAGTGTGCTTTGTTGCGCCGAACTACAAACAGTTATGTATGACTGTCATACAGAAAACAAGGAATAATTTTCTTTGTATACGTTTAGTTGCCCACTGACTTCTTTACTAGCATCAAGTTGAATGCCATTTAGAACGAAATCATTTGGGCGATTATACTTTTCAATAAAATCGGGGATTCAATGTAACGATTTGATGTACGTTTTGTATGCCATTATATAAATTCACCTTCTTCAGGAGGAATTGGTAAATGTTGATAATGATCATTGTAATAATCCCTGTAGGTACAAAGTCTACAGTTTAGTTAAAAATACACAAGTTGAGCAGAGAGAGAAAAACGATTAAGTTTCCAAAACTGTTAACAAAGTCTGTGATAACCTGTTCCTTGTTAACTAGGATAAGTGCTAATGAGGATACCGTAAAGTTAAGATACATGATTATTCGAGAGGGAAGACAACGATATTGGGATCTAGTTGAAGCATGGGAACAACAGAGCGTTAGAATTGCGTGTAGCGGATCGTTTGAGTTCATAAGAAGCTTACGTGCAAACTTTTCACATGCGTTTAAATGACGTTCGCATAGGTTAGTTACCAAATCCTTCAGCGGGATTAAAGAGACACGTCTAATGATGGTCACTCTATGTTTAAAGTGTTTCTTTAGGCGATTGGAAAAAGTAACATTGAACAATGAAGAAAAACACACCGCTACATGAATTTGGAATTAATTGTTTGTTGAATACGGAACTGACGAAGTTTACGGATATGAAAAGAAAGTCGTCGAAGCTTACTGACGATGTTATGAGTGTGAGAGGTCGAGTGAGGATCAGTATCGATAAAAAACAGTTATTTAATACAGCTTCCCAAGTTGCTGGTTCAAAGCCAATCGATAATAGTTCAGATGGGAAAGAAGAGCGTAATATTATAAAGAGACATTTTAAACATTTGAAGGGATTAAGAGATAAATCATATGTGACGGGAAATTGTGTCACGTTTTCCAAGTTGTCAGAAAATTATAAAAGAACAGAAGAATCGGAAATGGCCTGACATGAAACCACATCGTCGGCTTATTTGAAGAGAGAAGTAGGGGCACAAGAAGACAAGTCACTAATATACGTAGAAAATAAGTATGGGGAAAGAACTGCACCATGGAGTACTCCAGAATTGTTTATCAATAGTTTGCATTTATTCAGAATTCACATGATACACTGAGTTCTCCTGAAGAAACATTTAGCAAGCCAAGCCAGTAGCTATCTAGTACCACAGGTCTACAGTTTACGAAGATGAACGGAAAAAGAAATAGAATCAAAAGCAGACGAATGTCCCAGAAACATGAAGAACAGATTTTGCAGAGTTATNACAGATTTTGCAGAGTTATTCAAGGATTTGATAATCCTATGTATCAGTGAGGAAACAGCATCCAGCGTGCATGTGTTTGGTTTATAGGCAAACTGAAGAGAACCATACGGGACATCAAGTGAGTGCTGATTGTGTGTAAGAACTACACGTTCTCTAAGTTTAAGTCCAACAGCAGTTAAGTATCTAGCCATTAAATTACTCAGGTATGAGATACAAATACCACTGATTAGAACATTGATCATATACCACAGATTAGGAATTTTTCATGTCGGCAAATCTGAATACCAAAATTTATGGCTCCCTGATACATGGGAATCTATCGCATA